ACAAAAGAGAAGAGCAGTGTAGAAAACACTCTATCCTTCAGCTTCTAAAATTGAATGGTGCATGTGCATAAGTTTTCATCAATGCATCAATTTGTTTGACAAACTCTGGCATGCAGAGAATGATCAATAACAAGACAGCAGACATCACTCCCTAGTGGGTCACCAACAGCTTTGCTCCATTCTGTTGCCTTTTTCACAGTTTTCTGGTAGCTCAGATCACTACTCTTACCTAGAGGTGCTAGAATAACCCTAAGGAGGGCAGTCACATTACAGAGACAGTCCTGTCTCATGTCTGCAGTCAACCAAAGCTGTAGGGATTGAAACCAGTTGTCTTACTGAACTTCAGAAATCTTAATAATGGAAAACTTAAGGAAGAAACCTGGTAATCAGACAGGAAAAAAGAAAAATGCAAAATCTATCTGTCAGATTGCTGAAAGTCAGACTCTCACAAGACATGGTATTTCACAAACATAGACAGACCTTCTTACTGTTTGATGACTCCTGAGCTAAAAAAAGACTTTTTCTTGACAAATTAAATGGAAAATACTAGGTTCTTTTTTTTTTTTTTAATCTGACCTAATGGAGTAACAGGCTAAGTGGCCTAAAAATCACAGAAAAGTTCATCTCCAAAAAAAAAGCAGTCTGCTGTTTTGTCATTGCTGTTTCACAGAACCTTTTTATATTTCTATGGGTCTAGAATAGTCAGCTGCTTGTTTCCATAAACAGCCTAGCTAAGTAGCAGATGTTTCCTTGGGCAGTTATTCAATATATCTAGAAAAAAAATCGCTTTGCCTTCCAGGCTTCTGACAGCTTTGTTTCCAGCTCCTGACTTCTTTTCCCTGCTGAAATGTTCAACCTTTATAGCAGGCCTGCACAACAGGTGGGCCGTGGGTCTCTTGCAGCTTGAAAAACCATTTGTTTGGCCCATCAGCTGGTGAGAAGCATCATGTACTGTTTGATTTGCCCAACTGCCAAGAGGCAGCGAGAAGATGTCCAGCACAAAATGCATGTCTCCTAGCTTGTCACTGATCTCTCGGAATGCATGTACCTCCTAGTCAGCCACCTGGTCAACCAGCAGACACATAGCTCCAGATCATACACACACATTGCCTCGCAGGTCAAAGAAGTGGCGTAATAACAAAGATTTGGGCTATTCAGAAGTAATATTTGGCAGGGGGGGAAGTTGAAACAGAGGTGGAAGGACAATGGGAAAGTAACAATGCAAGGGAAGCTGAAACAGTGTTGAAATGGGTCGGCTGAGAAGAAGTAATGTCACACGGGAAAGTGAAAATGTATTTTCATTCTGAAAATGACCTGATAAATCCATTTGAGAATCCTGGCTCTATACTAACCCCAAGCACCTTTCTGCTAGAAGACCCATGCAATAATAAATGAGTAACAACAAATCCATAGTGCTTACTAAGTGGCAATAAAAATGGAATAACTGATGAGCAAGTGTCAATTGAATCAAAATGCAGAATTTACAAGTTGATATATATTTAACATTTCTAAGACGTTTTAATGAGAAAAAAGACAAGAAAAATCTTGGTAAAATGTATAAAGAATCAGGTGGTTTTCTTTTCTTGGGCTTAAGCAATTAATACTGTAGAGAATATATGACCATTGGTTTACATGGCATTATACAGATGGATGACCTCGCCTTTGAGAAGCCATGGGAGCAAATGGAATTGCTTTTGATTAAGAGGAAGGGGGACACAGAGTGGGACAGACAGAAATGCAAAGACAGGAGATAGAAGCCCTGGGAGAAAGATGCAATTATTGAAGGGACTCTACAGAAGGATAATAGAAAAAAGAAATGGACTTGATGCTGGTCATCACAGTCAATATCATGGGCAAAATAAGTGAAGGAAAGACTAAAGAAAAGACATTTTAGTTAAATGTGCTGCAAAGAGAACTGATGCCCCCAGAAAAAAAATAGATGTTCTGTCATTTGAGGATATTGAAAACTATTTTTAAAAAATCATTAGTTAATTTGAGAGTAGTCTTGCACTGGAAATGTGTCCTATCTATGATTAGCAGCCAACAGTAATCTTCTCTAAGTCTACAAACATAAACTTATATAAAACTTATGATTTAGAGAAATTAGGACAAGAAGTCTGATGCAGTTGGAATTAGAAATAAAGACAGAAAATGTGACTAGGGGGAGTGACTGAGACTGGTTAAACACATAGATAGAAACACAGAAACCAGGGCACTGGAAGACACTGTGAAAGGGAGCTAGTAATAAGAAATGGTTGGCTGACAGTAACTGAGACTGAAGTTGGGGGACCGCGTCATCTGAAGTCTCTTAGAGGGAGAAATCTTGACAAGTAACTGGATATGTGGCATATGGATAGAGTATTATGAGCCAATATCTGGAGATGTCTGGATTTTGATTAACAAGGATATTAGGTGCAGAAGTTAAAATTAGAGGCTGGAATTATGACTGGATATAAATAGAAACTTGTATTGAAAGGTGAGACAAAAAAGAGGCAAGAAAAAGATTATAAAATTTGGAAATGGATATTAGGACTCATACGAAGGCCAGAAATGAGGAAGAAACAAGAATAAGAAAGCTTGATGGAGACACTGTTAAAAGTGATACAGGTTGCAAGAAAAATGAAAGGAAGATTCTGTGCCCAAGACCATTAAATGTGTCCCAAGATTGTCTTTATTCATCTCAACAAGTATCTGTAAACCCCCCACGGCAAAACGGTCATTCCTTAGACCACACTGCTCATAATAAGGTATTACAGTTTATCAGTTATTTTGTTAGCTTTATCGCTGTGAATCTAAAGATTCAAGTCCATAAGGTTGTAAGATGTCATCTCACAGTGAAACTTCTGACTTTGTAGTTTACTTGTTAGAAAGAAAACCCTAGGAAATGGTTACCTAGGACATTGTTCAAATGGTGAAGCAAAATACTCAACTGTTAGGAAATGCCAAAATTAAGCTTTAACATATGAAAGAAATCGAGATAATAATTCACATCTCTTCTGTAAAGCATGATGACTAATGATGAAAGTATTATATATAAACCAGGTATTATATAAAGCATGAGAACACACATTGAACACTGAAGATAAAGAAAATATTGGATAGATATCCATTTATTCAACTACATCCTTGTCCCCTGCACTGAATGAGACAGGGTACTGTGAAAAATACAGTATCTAATCATATAATTAAAGATTATATCATGATGCATACACAAAGACGGTTGAAGAAAGGTGCGGAAGACAACCTAATTCTACCACTTCCTAATTTTGGAATGCTTGACTTTACAGCCTTGATAATGGCCTTTTCCAATAAAGTTTCTGATCTCATAAGAAATGTCATCACACATTTCCACATGCTTTTGTCCAAGATTTATACATCAGAAATGGAACCGTGCACACAAGCTTCACAAAACCACCAAAAGTTCCTTTTCAATGTGGAAGTCCTTCAGATAGCTATCTTTCAGACACAAATATAGCAAGAAAGAATCAAGGACTATCATTTGCTGAGATTATTACACTGATTTTGCTTGTTGAAAAATAGATTAAACAAGTTTCAAACCAACACAGAAAACAATTTAGGTTAGGTTTTCAGGCAAATGACTGAAGCTGAATCTAAGCAATTTTTATTAATGTGGAGGGCAGCTGCAGGGCAGCTTTCCCCTAGTACTTAGGCAGCAAAATGCATACACTAGGTTCTTGGTAGGGGCAAAGCTAAGTTGTAATTTCTTTCTCGCTCTTCCTCAGTAGCCTTCAGAGGCCTTACAGGTAACTTCATACAGGACTATTCAGTCAGTGTGCTGAGTTGCAGTTGTTTTCTTTCTCTATTCTTGGATCTGCTCAACATCTCCATTTCCTGCCTTGTCCTTTCTGGGAGGGAAAAAGACAGATGGCCCTGGAAGCTTTTATGTGCATGGTAGCTGAGTGGTTCTTTTTCCTACATCAGGAAAGCATAGCCTCTGAAGCCACTTAGTATTACACTTAACTGCGCTGTTAATATGAGCCTACAGAAGAGGCGGAGAACTAGAAAAAGGCGAGAAGAAACAGTTGGTGGGAAAGGGCTTAGAAAGCATAAGTTCATTTTTCTAAGGGACAGGGAGAGTAAGATAAAAGACTCATTTGGAGAAAGGCTGATAATGTGCTAGAAGGAAAAAAAATATTTGCAGCAGAATAAGGAATTGAGGTATGAAATTTTGATTGACGGACAAAAGGAACAAAAATTGCCCTAGAAGAGGATGCGTAGTTAAGGAGAAATTGACCGAAAGAGTGGAGTACGACAGGAAAACTTTGAGGACAGGCAAAGTGCAAAGGGTCTCTTGGAACACAAACAGACATTTGGGGGAAAAAAAAAAAAGATAGGCCTGAGAAATCACGGGAACTGAACAGGGTGAGAAGACTGTTAGCAGAAAATGATGGAGCTAGTTTCAGAAGCAGCTGGAATGATGGCATGCAGAAGTTAGACATTAATTGGAATAAAGTAGAAAAGGTACAGGCTGAGGCAATTGCTAGAAAATAGGAAAGAAATGGAGAAGACAAACAAAATAGCAGCCTGAGAGAGAGAAAATTTGGTTAAGCTTCTTGTTTTTATCAGGATAACTTTGGGAGAAAAGCACGAATCAATTTGGGAGTGATTTGGGAAAAGGAAGACATGACAGGGACCATGAAAAGAATGGTCAATAGGGAAGACAGTGCAGAAGCAGAACATTTTTAGAGGAGTTTAGATAATGCGTAAAGAGAGTGGTGTTTAAATGGAATGAAGATGAATGTACAGGACTTGGGAAAGAAACTACTGGGAGACAGAAAATTGGGAATGTGGGATTTACAGAGGAAAAGAAAAATTAATAAAGTAGGCAGACAAATACATGGTAAGTAACCAGATCGGGAAGAAAAAGTTAATGGAAATAAGAAAGTAAGAGCGGCAGTAAATGTCATTGTTCTAGTGCTTAGTAAGAGGTCTGGTAACAAAACAGTATATAAAAGTCAAACATTATCTTTGTATGGTACCTTTTTGTGTGGGATGAGGGGGTCTTGGGAAACCGGATTGGGAGCTAGGCATAGGCATCTAGTGAACCTACAATATGTATGGAGAAGAGGATAATCTGCTTTATTGTTATTTTAAACAGAAGCAAGAAAGAAAACATTTAAAACCAGTGTCTACACTAGTTCCTAATAGCTTAGTATCTGTTTGTATCTGTTAAAAAATATGAGACCCATAATTGGGTTATTTATTATGATTATTTGTTAGCATTTTATGGATATTCCAGCAAACCGTTATCTACCCAGTATTTAAAAAAACCCAGCCCCAACCCTAAAATATCCTGTATTGCTTCTTTTGATAGTCTTATATTCAAATTTCTTTTTATTATCTCTCCCATTTTACAAAAGACTTTGCATGAACTAAAAGTGAATCTGAATGAGTGCTACAGGATGAAAAATAGAACAGAACGTACCCCCCCTTATTGACAAATGCAATTACCTTTTACGCTTAAATTAGTCCTGTTCCTTACTCACAAAAGTGATAGTTTAAAATATCAACATTAAATATAACTTCAAGTGGACAAGTATCCTTTTATTTATAATATATAGTAGATAAAATCTTTATTTTTAATTATGATTTCCTTGAGTACTATTTTCTTAAATGCTGAAATTACACTTGGTATTTCAATTATTTCACTTCCCCACAGAACGCTGCAGCTTTCCTACTTTTGTTTGCTTAGTTATAGGACTGCATAGCATGCTTAATACAGTAAGTTGAAAAAAAATTAATGATTGTGGATAAGGAGACTATTAACCCAGACATGCTTTGATACCAAGATAAAGATATATTTTTGAGAGGAATAAGAAAGGCATAAGTATTTCCCTAGTAAGTATTTTTTCCCAGAACCTGAAACATGAAAGAGATAGTATTATATTCTTTATTATGGAATATATTGTATATTCTATATACTAATTCTTCTATAGTGCATACTAGAGTACACAAAATATCATTTCCAGATAAAATTTAAGGACATAATTGAAATTTTGCAGAATTGGAAAGACATGGTCTTTGTTGCCCTGATGAAAATTCAAAGTAGCATTGGAAAAATCCCGGTTTCACCCATTGGAAAGCTTTTGTAGAGTTTTGCAGCTAAATTCTCCAAGGAGCCCATCTGTACTGAGCATGCTTTATCCTGGTGCTGCAGGAATGAAGCAGTTCTTTCCCTGCAACTCTCTCTCCTCATTCCTGCAAAGAACTGCTGTGCTAAATATTGAGATAAGAACAGATAAATTGTCTTTGCTTTTCTCTTAGTGCTTCACTCCCTGATATCCAGACAGATGCAAGAAGAAGAAACAAAACGTGTACTGAAAGCAGTAGGGAACGTGAGCTTGATGGGGAGGCGAGGGGAAGCAGAGAATACAGACAGAGATGTGGTGCAAAACAGGAAAGGCTGGTAACAGGGAATGTCAATGCAGCGTGGACTCTCAGAATGGCTGGACAAGAGGAGGAGGCAACAGGAAGGGTCAGAGACAGGGGGCTGGGGGTCACTGAGAAGAGAAAGAGCTTGTAATTAAAGAAATAATCAGAGTGGCATGAAACTGAGTTCAGAAGAGAAAGCTGGAAGAATGTGAAGTTAGGAAAAAAAGAAACACAATGTA